GGTGGGGCGCTGCTGGCGGGGCTGGAGCTGCTCCACCCGAGCGACTGCTGGCCTGAGGAAAGGAAAGGTGGTGGCCGAGACCCAGGGACGCTCGTGGCTGTTAGAGCTGCGGTCTCCAGGTGTTGTCCGAGTGTAGTAACTTTCCTGCTTGCGAGTCTGCACTTAGCTGGTTTATATCCTGCTTCAGTTGTTTGTATTGTAAAGAGGGGGGAAAAAAACCCGCCACATTCACCATTTAAGTTGCATTTTGACTCATAATTGTAAGAGTGTTTTGCAACTTACTGGACATAACTCACTCTGCTGTAAAAGTCTGTTAAATGACTCTGGAATCCCTGGCGAGAGCTGTGATCCCCCTCACCCAGCCCCTTTCCAGGGAAACGAGGGCTCTGCTAGACCGAATCCCCAGCTGGAAAGTAGGGAATTGTCTAGCGTGAGGACCTCGGGGTGAGCTGTAGCTTATTGAAAAGGTACTTGACGTTGTGTCCTCCTAAATAAGAGCAGTTATTTTCCATTCTTATAAGTGGCAATAAAACCAAGTAGCTGTCAGGCTTTTGCTGCAATAAAAGAAATCAAGGACATGTCTGTCTCTCGCTGGATTAGGCTGGCGTAGCGGAGCAGGTTACTTTGTCATAAAAAGCCTGCAAACTTAATGCAATAGGAAGGTGAGATGCTTTGAAATGTAACGGGATATTTTTAAAGATCTTCAATCTTTCTGGACAGAGTAATATAACTAGTAATTCTTAAATCTGGGCTACGTGGAGAAAACTCTGTCTGGCTGTGCCTTCAGAAGTTGTTAAAGGGTTCCCCATCCTTTTCAGCCTGGGAGTCCTCAGGTAGCGTACGTGTTCGCTACCCGGTGCCGACTGTGGAAGTCGGTGAGAACAGATGAACAGAGAAATCCATCGGGGCAGGCGTGGGAAGTGCTGAGCTGAGAGCACAGTGTGGTCTGAAACCAAGGGCTTCTGTTAACAGCAGAGCCGGAAGATCCTTCCTTAATTCCTGAGCTCAGCTGCGGTATGGACATTACGCAGATGAGCGAGTGATGGACTCTGTCCTGGAGAACTCACGACCGAAGGCAGTGAAGGCAGAGGGAAATAGCGTTGGTCCTGTGGGGGTTACGACGGGCAAGAGAAATTTGCAATTTGCTGTTTGAACCCCAAGTCCAGTATTTTAACAAGATTATTTCTAAAACCAGGCACGTGGGAAGGGTTGAACGTGGAAACTAGAATGTCAGTAGAGCTCTTTTTAAGAACAGAAGTATGAATAATATTTTCTGGTTTGGCTAATTATAGTTCTTTGTTTTGAATTAAAGACGCAGCATTAATAAAAATAAGGGCTTCTGTTTAAATGAAAACAATGTTTTCCAACTTAGCAGTTTTGTAGCAGTAGTGTCCATTTATTTGTTGCTTCTAACACTGAAATTAAATGACTTCTTATCTGCTGCTTTACTGTCCTTTTAAAATGGCTTATAAACAAGGTGATATATATCCCAGCGTAGAATCCTTCAGTGTTCAGTATAACAGGCTTTGAATTTTTAAACAAGTATCATTACGACACAGGTAGCTGGTCTAATGACTTAGAGGGATCCGTCTCAGGGCCTCTCTCTCCTCTTGCACAGGTACATCTTACATTTATTACCCATTTTCTCTTTATTTTAAAGACATTGCTGGGCATCTTTGTCTCTGCTGCGAGCAGAGAGGCTCCAACGCGCTTTTAAGCTGGGTTTTCTTCTGACTCTGTCACATTCTCCTCCCACCCTCCTCTTTCACTTTAGAGAAGGAAATTCCTGTTTCATGCCGCTGCGGCTTAATTAAACTGGGAGGGCTCTGCAGGGTTCGTGCGGCTGTTTAGCAAATAGTTTTGCTGGCCTGTGTGATCAACAGTTTTGTTGTGAGTGGTGTTCTAACCACTTCCATCAAAACTTGGGACTTTTTTTTTTTTTTTTTTTTTTTTTTTTTTTTTTTTTTTTTTTTTTTTTTTTTTTTTTTTTTTTTTTTTTTTTTTTTTTTTTTTTTTTTTTTTTTTTTTTTTTTTTTTTTTTTTTTTTTTTTTTTTTTTTTTTTTTTTTTTTTTTTTTTGGTGTTTTTTTTTTTTTTTTTTTTTTTTTTTTTTTGATGTGCCAGTAGCCTTGACGCGTGCAGGGATGTGATCCTTCAAAAAAAGAAAAAGTTGGGCCAGGCTGATAAGCGTGCAGTAAGGATTGCGCTTTTGAGGCCGTGTAGGCTTTCGTTCCTCTGTGGAACCAGCCTTGGCCCCTGACAAAGAATGTTAACTGGGAAAGCAAAAGAGCAACTGGTTTGATAGGGTGTGATATTCAAGGACTTCAGATGTCAGCATAGCTGTGGCAGAGTTCCTCGTGTGATGCCGTGATTTGTGCTGGGAAATTACTGTGAATTCTGGTGTGCTACATCGGTGGTGTTTGTTATATTTGTGTGGTGCAAATCTTCCTTCTGTCAGAGCTCACCCAATTGGATGTGTACCTCTTTTTAATTGCCTGTATGCTGAAAGATATTTAATTAGCAGCTTCCTAACTGAGTTACTGAACTTTGGGGATATAATGAGCCAAACACAGAAGCTGGGGGTTGGCTGACTTTACAAAAACAGTTTTGGGTGGGGATTCAGTATCCAACAACCATCTCGCTAGCTGGGACCTGGCAGCATCCTTCAGTTCCTGCAGCTGTTTATCATGGTGACCTGAGCGACTCCTTCAGGAATTGGCGCAAAGTAAACAGCAACCAGAATATCACTCTTTCATTCCTCGCCTACTTCTTTGTATTCTGTGTCTTTTTAGGCAGATTTTTTGAAAGGATTACCCGTCTACAACAAAAGCAATTTCAGCAGATTCCATGCGGATTCTGTATGTAAAGCATCAGTAAGTATTGCCACATCCTGGTGCTTTGGGGGAAGGTTTTCTTGCAAGGCTCAAAGGATGCTAGAGTGGAATAAACTTGAAATGAGTATTTTGTTTCTTAAAAAACATGTATGATCACAGCTGATGGCTCATGAGTTGAGGTTGGTAAGGAAAAATTCCTGCCTGCTTTGGTGAGGAATGTGTCATCACATTAGCCAAACCACATCTGTGGTGCTTTCTTCATATATATAGTTATTTAGTAATAGTCTTCTGCCCCAAAAAACACATGAAAAATGGACTTTCTTCTTTATATGTGTGTTTTAAAAAGCTGTAGCCACACAGTGGCATGTAACAGGACAGAATATCACAATGCATTAATGAGGGCCTTTTGGTTGGTTTAGCTGTGGTTGGGTTAAAAATCACCTTTTTGCTGTCTCTGTTCTGTAACTGTTCTCTAATTCTTCTACAGAATAGAAGACCATCGGTATACCTTCCCACGAGAGAATATCCATCTGAACAAAGTAAGTCTGCCCTGCTAAAGTTTGAGTTTTTTTCATAACTTTATTCTGTTCTAATATTAAAAATCTAGCATACACATAATCTCCCTTATTTTAAACTTCAGATCAGGTGATATTATTGAACTGTCACCACAGGGATTAGCAGTGTATGTCTGGTTATAGTTTTTTGTGCTTTTCTGCTATCCTTATTAAGTGATCGGTGTTCCTGCATAATGTCCTGTTATTAAAAAGGACCATGCTTAGTATGTGAAGTAATGTGGTGATTACTGCACCGTTTTAAAAGTCATCTTTAAAATGACCTCATGACCTCAGTATGTTTCTCTTTTTTTTTTTTTTTTTTTTTTGGCAGTCATAGTAACAGAAAAGACAAATATACTTTTGCGTTATTTACATCAGCAGTGGGACAAAAAGGTATGGTTGTGTTTTCTTAATATTAACTTTTTGTCTTGATTGACCTGAATATTGATCACAATCAAAATATTGAAGATTAATTAAAAGCAAGTGCGAACTGCACTTCAAGAAAAGGTAGTGTAAGGAGGCTCTGTCTCTGCACAACACTTCTTTTAAAAACAAATCCCCCCCCAAAACCCCAACTTTTTCTTCCCTCCCTTTCAATTTAAGGGACATAACTCACTGTTTAGTCTAGAACTTGGGAGGCTGCAGTTACATCTCCCGCTTATTGCGGTTTTCCTTTGTGACCTTGGCAAATTGGTCTCCCTGTGCCTCAGCGCTTACTTTACAGCTAGGGTAAAGCTGCTCTTACCTCCCAGGACTGTTAGGAGAAGATGGATGAGATTGTGAATACACTGAGGAGGCTCCGTAAGTACCTGGGGTACAAAATCTGAGTTCTTGTGTGAGGAACACACAAATTAGTACGCTCTCGCTAGTGTTTGAGACTAGGAAGCTGGGCTGGGAGTACTGAGAACAAGGCGATGACTTAGGAGTGGAGATGTCAAAGCAGTGAGTGTAATCGTGGGCAGAGGTTGCAGAAGAATGTGGAGAGAGGCAAAATTAATAAGGAACCTTGAAGCTGACAAGAAAGTATTAGTATGTGACAGAAGGCTTTGGGAGATTTTGGTAAGTTCAGGGACTGACTCAGAGCAGTGGGAAAGAGGATCTTGCTCATGTTTATGCAGTATTTGAGATCTGTAAATAAAAGGTGCTGAGATCAATGATTGGGGTTTTAGTCCCACCCTCAAATTTGAAGGAGCACCTTTCAGCAAAATCCTCTTCAGTGTTTGTTCCAGTGTGTCAGTTAGGTCATCGCAGCACTATATTCCATCCAAAAATTTTTACAAACAAGAATTTGTTCTACCGATGCTAGCTCCCACCAGAATCTAAGGCTTTGGAGAGTTCACTGTGGCTTTCTCTGTCCCAACAGAATGCAGCAAAGAAGAGAGATCAAGAGCAAGTGGAAATAGAAGGTGAGAACTCGGCGCCACCACGGAAAATCGCTCGGACAGACAGCCAGGATATGAACGAGGACACTTAAACTCTTGGCTTTCTCCTCTACTACTTTGCAGGCGCTTCCTGTTTTGTCTCAAAGTGTGTAAATTTTGCCCCTTGCCCCCATCTCTCACCCCTCCACTATGCAGCCCAAACCACTTCTGACTTCATAGGAGCCAATGTATTTATTTTTTTTTTTTCCTCTCCATTTTTTATTTATGCCGTAAAACTTACGGAGCAGTGGTGGCACAATTCAGTAAATGATGTAGTATAACCTTAGTTCCTCCTTTCTAAAAATATACACTGTCACTTTCAAAGGTTTTATTGAATCTGTTACCTAATCAACCAGATCTAGCTATGGGAACCTGGGTGGGAGACATGGTTTATTCCAGAACCCTTCAGTGGTAGAGGCTTTCCGATTCATGTGCCCGTTGACGTATCACAAGTGGTTAACTCTTCTTTGGATGCGCCCAGTCCAGCCATAAGTGTGGGGCCTCGCTATTTTTCGCAAAGATTCTGAAACTGGCACTGCACTAAAAAAATCATGGGTGTCCTTTAGGGTTTTTGTTGATCTTAGCAAACCTGTTGTCAATTTGATATATCAGTTGTATTCTTTTGGTCTGTTCTGTAAGGGCCATGGTCGTTTGGCAGCATACATTATCTCATGCATCAGTGGTCATGGAGAATTCAAATGAAAGGTGTGTTGCTTTTGTCGCTCTTAAATTCTAACCGTCTCTTGGTCTTGAACGGACTGATGTGTGCAACTTCTCCGTTGGAATAAAAGGATACTCGTGTCCTACCCTGAGTATTTGATCAACAGTGTCTTTAAGCAACAGCCGATGGAATGGAGCTGGGTCAGCACCCTGCAGGCAGCACTTGGCTGGATAAGCCTGGGAGCACCTCGGCAACTAGATCTACTTCTGTGTCTCAACTGCCGGCTCTGAGTAACGGTACGTTGTATTCTCCTGCGATATCGGCGTGTCTGGAATGGAGTCCAGGACTTGGAGTTGATCAAAATGTGAGCTTCCATGGTCTCTGATGAAGACCAATCTCTTTCGGACTGTGACAGTTCAGTGCCTGTTGCCTGTAACCCTTCACTGACTCTTCAGTAAGAGCCAAAACGGAGACCTGTAAGTCGTCTAGGTGGATTCAGAGGTTCAGAGACTAAAAGGAAATGAGCATCATCACCCGAAGGGGACAGGAAAGGTGTAGCTTAGTAACGATGTCTTGTCTGCTTTAACGTAAGAAGCTGACTTCACACTGTGTTAGTTTAAATTGTTGCATTTATAGCTGTGTTTTTTCCTTGTTCACAAATCCTAAACACCAATTCAAGAAATCGCACGAATGTTTTTCTAGAGATCCTGGATAAGCCTCGTTCCGAGTGGCTGCAGTGGCCCCGAGCTTTGAGGGTTTCTGCTGTCCCCTTCTCCACGGCATCCCTGTCCAAGCGGGGGACGCCGCGTGTTCAGGTTTGGGGGCGAAGGGAACACGAAGGGCAATAAACTGTTGCCGACGACCGTACGTTGCAAGGCAGAACCTTAGGAAGAGCAGGGCACGGCTCGCATTGCATTTTTAAATGTACATTTAGGCACCAAGTTTCTGATGCAGTGAGTGAATTTAACTTAACACCGAGTAGTTTAGAACTTTGTATCTGCCTCAAAAAACGTTACCTTTTTGCTATGGCAGTAACCTCCAAATTACTGGAATGTCGTTGAAAATGCCAACTGTGTTGGTGAAGATAAAATATACTTGGGTTTCCGTGTGATTTACTGGTGATGGCAAGAGGACTCCTCCCAGAGTTACGCTGTCAAAAAGTGCTTTTGTGCAAAGTGCAAGACGTTGACTGAAGATGCCGCGTTAGCATCTGGCCTCGCAGGGATTACCTGAAGCTGAAACTGAAGAATCCTTTGAAGAGCTGTGAGATACCAAAAGAGGAAACGAACGTGCAGCTGGTGGTAAAGTGTGACCAATTTGTGTGTTTAGCAAAGCTGCAGCCTTGCAGTAATGTTTGTACAGTGCTTTGAAGTTGTAAAATGCTGTATAATTCTTGATTGATATGGCAAGGTTTGAGCTTTGCTGACTTCTCTGCTAGACAGAGTGATGTACTATTAAAGAGAGTTGGCAGTTCCTTCCTGTTGTAAACCCCCGTCTTTGTTCCCTCTGTGTCTTTTAAAAATGATCTTGTTGGTTATGGGAGCCTTTGAAATATTTCAGATATTTTTAGGAGGTTAAAGAAAGTTGCCTTTTTAAAGTAGTTCCGAAGTGATGGAGAAACAAGTCTTCAAAGGGACGTGACTAAGTGTCAAACTGGTCGTGGTTTGGTTTTGGTTTTTTTTTTTTTTTTTTGCATTGGTGGCTGTGTACAAGCAGTATGGATTTCTGATACCCTCAGTGAGTCTTTTCTGCATCCGATCTGAAGCGAGAGCTCCCTTCCTCTCTCCTTCCTTCTTCAACTCGCTTTCCACGCTGCTGCTGGCTCAAGAGTGCTGTCCTCGAGCTATTGCACTTTGATCCTATATTCACGTCTGTTTAGCACATGGTAAGCGTATCGGGTTTGAATGTTGCATGGAAGATCTTACTTGCCTAACTGTGACTTCCTGGTGCCTTAGTGCATTGAAAACAACAAAAATGTTTAAAAAAAACAAACCCTGGGGTTTTGCTGACCACACTGTTTGTATAATACCTAGCTCCTCTGACTACCAACTCTTGTTACAAAGTGACTGAGATTTAGTGACCCTCAGGGGTTTTTTGTATATGTCTGCATAGTGGTATTTTTATTGTTTCTGTTACCAATGTACACTAAAGGTTTGGGTTTTTTAATGAAAACTTGTGATACTTGTCAGAGATCAGAATTTTGTGTTTTTAGTTGAATAGCGCATCGCATCTTTTTTCAAAAGTTGAAGCAGCAGAAACGTTTCTTGATAGTAGGGGACGACGAGTCCTGTCTCGGAGCAGCTCCTTCCAGCAGACTGTCCTGCTCGCAGGCGTCTGTCCTGCATTAAACAGCGCTGGAGCTTGCACCCAATGCGAGCGATTAGGTGTGTGCTGGGTAAGTTTAGAATATTAAAAAAGCTAGGCACTGCCTTATTTCTAACATAAAAATACACTAGTGACTGATGTGCAGGGAAACTAAAGTTTTGTTTAGGTTAATTCTTGATATCACATGATCACTTTTTTTTAGGGGAGAAGTAGTAACAAAAAATACAGAAGAGTTAGAGATGGGGAAATGTTGAAAGAAAGGATAGACTTTACCATGTTCTGTCCTCCGCTGTGAATTCAGAGGCAACTGTGGCTGAGCAGCAAAGTCTGTGTTTGTTTGCATTGATGGTTGACTCCTGGAGTTTGCTGGGTCAGTTTATTTTGTCCGAATATGTTCAGTCGGGTAACGTTGGCATGTTCAGCTTTCAAGGTGTTTCTTGTTTCTGTCCTTGGAAGTTTTTCAAGACCGTAATGAACGATGCCTTGAGCAACCCGCTCTGCGTTGGGTATTGCCCGTGCTTTGAGCAGGAGGCTGGAGGTGACCTCCCAGGGTCCCTTCCCACCGATAAACACCGGGAAGTGCAAAATGCAGCAGAACCCGTGGCTGGAAGGTTTGTTTCTGTACAAAGCTGGCAAGCTGCGGAGGACTGTTAGCAAAGCTTGTGGAGTTTGCAAGCATGTGCAAAAAAATTTTTGACAAGCCCTGAAAGCACATTGTGCTCTAAAGAACAGGGAGTGGCAGGATGGAGATCCAGACCGGGAGGGGAGGACGGGAGCTGCTCCGCTCCCCGTCTGCCTGAGGCGGCGACTCAGTTTGGGCCGAGGCTGTCGTGGGTTTGAACTCTTTACCACAGGAGTATTTAAGGTGGGCAGAAGTTTTTAGATGCATTTCACTAAGAAGATGTGTTTAGATGCATTTCGCTGTAAGAGGACAGGCTTTTAGAATCATTTAGATATGTTAGATGTGATTTTAAAGAAAAAAAAAAAGACTTGTTTTCTTAGCCTTGGCATGACGTGAAGCACCAGCAGCGTGCTGGTTTGGATGTCTGGGATGCATCCCGGTGACTGTTGGGAACTGGTTGCCGAGCCGGGTTGTGATGAATCCAAAGGACGTGCTTAACCCAAATGCTGTTTTCCGCATCCCGGTAAACGTGCCAAGCTGTTAGTAAACTCCACGCGCGTGCCGTTGTTTGGGGTTGTACCGACAGCTCTGTGGGGAAGGCTGTGAACTTGGCTTTGGAGTAGGATCGGCTGGAAAATGGGTTTCCTTCCCTCTCCGGTGCGTGCCTTACGCAGCAGTTTGGTCGTCGGTGTTTGGAGTGTTTCCCGTGAGGCAAATTTTGAACATGCTGGACATTAATCTTAAAATTTTCACTCTATACTTGGTAGTTATAATGGGTGTAACTTCAAAGCTTTATTTTTTTTGGTGACCTCCTTTTCACTGGCCTTAAGGGCAAAGACTAAGCAGAAGTCTTGGATTTTTTTCTAACACTGCAGCTATCAGCTATGTTACCACTTACCGTTTCCTGGCTTGTTTGTATACCACTGGCTTCATTTTTTGCTTTTAAGATTTTTTTTTTTAAAGTCCTGCATATCTGTAATAGGAAAACTAATTTGTTTTCCTGGATTAATGACATCAGCCTGGCAGCAGAGAAATTGTGCGACACGCTGACCGCGACCAGAGAGATTCCAGCTGATCTCTCTCCGCGTCAGGTTTTGTCTTACATTTTTTTTGATGTGTAACAGAGAGTGGGAAATCCTTTTCTTTAAAGAAGAGAGGGTTGCATTTACCTGGGAGCAGCTCAGGGTATTTTTGGGAGGTATTTTGCAGAGGATGTGCTGGCCGCTGTGCCCAGAAGGGGGTATTGCATCATGGCTTTGGTTAAGCACAGGCTGACCTTCACGCCGTGCTGACTGCGCTTTCGGGTTTCTCCGCTGCTGGTTCACGTCTGTGCCCTGGCAGCAGAGAGCGCGGCCCCGGGGTCTCGTCTAACAGCTGATAGGGGATGTTTGCCACTAGCGATCACCCGAAAAGGCTGAGTCAGCAGGCTGTCCAGGTGGACTGGCTATGCCAGCTGACAGCTTACTTATAGGTCTAATGGTTGCATCCAGCCTACACTAAATGACTTACTGTCACGGCATCAGCTTGCAGAGCTCGTCCTGAAACGCGTGCGCTGGCAGCAGAGTTATATTTTATATAAAAGATGCGTGTCGTCTTGCGAGTTTAATGTCAGGGAGGAGATAGGACTTCTAGAACCTCATCTTTTTTTAACTACTGGGGGGGGGGAACCATCTTCGAGGTATTCAAAAGGCTGAACCTGGCCTGCAGGGAAGAACATCTTTAACTGAAACAAGGGAATGAAATACCAGCTTTCAAATTCCCTTTAACACTGAGATTCTGGTTTTAAGGGCAAAACTCTCCTAGTGTGTCCCCAAAGATGAAGAAC